CGAAGAGATAAGGATCAGACGAAAGGAGGGAGAAGGATGGGAATGTCGTTAACACCAAGTCTTGGTCACCAATCCCAAATAGTCCCTCGTTGCCATGTCTGAGTCCCCAAAAAGTCGAGTCTGGAGCATATGTCACCAAGCCCGGTATCTCTTCTCTCGTAGTCTGCAACTGCAGGGAAGTCAGAAGTTGAGAGGGTAAGAAGAAGATGGTGGACTGGGAAGAAGAAGAAGAGAACTCTCTCTCTCTCTCACTGTTACGAACCAGGTACTAACCTGTGATGTTGGCGCTGTGCTGCAGGTACCTCGAAGACGAAGCTGGAGCAATGGCGCTGCAGGTAAGTGATCCCTGGCCTCCGCCCATCATCTCTATCACTACCTAGCTATGGCGCCCAGCGCCGAAGACTACAGCTACCTACTGCGCCCATCGCTGAAGACTACTAGCTAACGCTACTCTACTACAACGCAGCGCTCCCTCCAGAGTGCTGCTCCCGAATCCTGAAGACTACAACTGCCGAACTGCCTACCTCGGAAGTGCCTGGGAAGTCCTATGTACTACCTCGGCCTGCCTCCTGACTACTGGAGGCCAGTCAGGCCGAGGAGGCAGCTCTTGCCAATGCTGAAATGTGCCAGGGGCTGGTGTGCAGCAGCCTGCTTGAGGCTGGCGTGGGAAACAGACTTTTAATAGTCTGTTCCCGAAACCCTGGTTCGGTGCCTGAGTTTCAGGGCCGGTCGTTCTGATGAACGACCGAAAATGGCCCTTCGTTTCAGGCTAAAAAGGCTGTTGCCATTTTTAGTCTGAAACGACCAGGGATAGGCCCTGGACTTCAGGCTTTTGGCCTGAACCGACAGGGGGCCTGTAAGCCCTGGATTTCAGGCTTTCGGCCTGAAATTCAGGCTTTTGGAAGTTCAGGCTTTTGGCCTGAACACCGTCGGGCCTGCAAAATGGCCGTCGGGCCTGCCAAATGGCCCGTGTGTGCACGCGCTGCATGTAACACCCCCCCCTCCTTATGAAGTCAAGCCGGGGCAAGGGCGAAACCGTCGATCTGAAGGTGGAACCTGGACGCGGGCGCGGCGTGGAGCCGAAGAAACCGGCTTGCCTTGCCTCTTGCGTTCGTAGCGTGCGAGAACGTCTGGAGCTGTCGCTTGAAGTTCCGCACGGGTTAACCAACGGTCAGCTCGATGTGTGCAGTAGGCAAAATGCACCAAATACTCAGTTGGCTTGTTGCCAAAGCGTCGCTGGGAGATGATGTCGCCGACCTCCTGAAAACCATCCATAGAAGGTGGGTCTTGCGTCCGTCTCCCCGGAAAGTCGTCATGAGTAGAGAGCCAGTTTGGAGCAATGAAAGACTGGGTAGACAGGCAAGTGGCTAGGCACCTGAATCGTGAAGGAGGGTCCTTCGGGTGCGTCCCCAGCGGGCTCTATGATCGGCCAAGGCCCCATCCATTTCGGGAGGAGCTTGCGAGAGACGTCTTGTTCAAGGCTGAATTCCGCTGCTGAAACCCAGACGAGGTCCCCGGCGCGGAATGGACAAGGAAGACGCTGGCGATTTGCCTGTTGGCTCATGCGCTGCTGCGTCTTAGCCATCTGGTCGCGTGCCTTGACAAGAAGCTCTTGCATCCGACGCAAGAAGAGAAGATAGTCGTCGCTCTCGGCCGTGCGTGGAGTAATAGTGTCCAACGGTGATGTGACCGGCGAGCCATGCTCGAACTCGAAGGGCGATA